CACATTGTGTTATATTTCTTTTTCTTTTTCTTTTTACAATTGTTGGCGTCAAAACTGGTTAATTAGTATTTTTACTATTGAGCTCGCTTACGCGTGATAGTCAAATATCGAAAGATAATGAGAGAGCTGTCCGACGTGATCTCGAATTAGCTCGTATTTTTTTTTTTCACTTTTTCGTTTTTAAACGATATTTTTTAGTAAAAATTTGCACACGCGGCTTCTTTTGCATTTATTATTTCTAATGGCAATTCGAATTATTACAATGATAATAATTATTTGAATTAAATTTAAATTTCTAAAAGAAAATAACAAATGCCGCTGGATAATTACGACATACAAAAATCATATATATATATGGAAATGAAAATGAATTTATTTCTTTTCCCGAACCTAAAGAATTGCAAATTTTCACGAACGATTTTTTTTTATTCATTCTTTTATTGTCAAACAAAGAGTATAAAGATGTTTGTTGGAAACACATTTATACGTCGAAATATTTTTTGTTTACGTATGGTTTTCTAAAAATTACGATTCTTTTATTTTCTTTATTTCATCCAATAGAACAATTTTCGGAATAAACAAAAACAAACAAAAAGAAAAACATTTTGCACATCCAAGATAACACACTCGTGCAGCTCCTGCCATCATTTTTTCCCCTTTTTTTTCTCTCTCTTTCTCTCTTTTTTCTTTTACATTGCAAAGATTTATAATGTCAGTACTTTAATACATAAATCACGTGTGAGAGATATACTAATAAAATATCAATTAAATATAATAATAAATTTGTTTTTCTTTTTTTTTCGTGTGTCTCAATAGGAAAAGTTTAATAACTAGTGAAGACATATATATATTTATATAATATTTATACACATATATGCATACATACATATATACATATATACATACATACATACATGCATACATACATACATACATACATACAATCATACATACATACATACATACATCCATACATACATACATCCATACATACATCCATACATACATACATCCATACATACATACA